GGGCTTGGTGATGGATTGAAATGATTCTAAGCATTAGTTGGTGATGGATTGAAGGGATTCTGATTAGGGCTTGGTGATGGATTGATGGGATTCGGAGCAGGGCTTGGTGATGGATTGAGGGATGCGGAAGCAGGGCTTGGTGAGGTGAAAATGATTCTAAGCATTAGTTGGTGATGGATTGAGGGATTCGGAAGCAGTGCTTGGTGATGGATGATGGGATTTAGGAGCAGGGATTGGTGATGGATTGAAGGGATTGAGAGCAGGGCTAGCAGGGCTTGGTGATGGATTGAAGGGATTCGGCGCAGGGCTTGCGTGATGGATTGAAATGATCTAGCATTAGTTGGTGATGGATTGAAGGGATTCTGATTACGGCTTGGTGATGGATTGATGGGATTCGGAGCAGGGCTTGGTGATGGATTGATGGGATTCGGAGCAGTGCTTGGTGATGGATTGAAGGGATTCGGAGCAGTGCTTGGTGATGGATTGAAGGGATTCGGAGCAGGGCTTGGTGATGGATTGAAGGGATTCGGAGCAGGACTTGGTGATGGATTGAAGGGATTCTGATTAGGGTTTGGTGATGGATTGAAGGGATTCGGAGCAGGGCTTGGTGATGGATTGAAGGGATTCGGAGCAGGGCTGGTACAGTGTGATCATCTCACTGTGGTTGACGTACGTTCAGAAACAACACTACTATCCCAGAGTTATAGTGCTGATCTAGGATCAGGTCATGCAATCTTTTATTGTGATCTAAAAGGCAAAACTGATCCTAAATCAGCACTCCTACTCTTTATAGAGACCCTTTATACATATGACCACTGGTCATCTTGCTGCAGCTTTGTGATGTGGTTCACAAAAGGTCAAAAACAACACTAGGATCCCTTATGCAACGGTCCGTGACCACTGGATGCGGGGGAGAATGCTTTCCAAGTCAAATCAGCCCCGGCATGCAAAGACAATGGGATGAATGTTTACACTGTCACACACACAAAGGGACTATTGATGGAACTCAGTGTCTGGTTTCCAGACATAATGGGACCCATCTCGTCCAAAGAGTTGACTCAAGTTTGCCAAAAAGCACCTGGAAGCAACTGGATGATCATCAAGACTCTTGGAAGAATGTTCTATGGACAGATGCGAAAAACCAAACACTGCATTCCACAGTAAGAACCTTATTCCAATGGTTGAGCATGGTGGTGGTAGTGTGATGGTTTGGGGATGCTTTGCTGCCTCAGGACCTGGACGACTTGCCTTTATAGAAGAAACCATGAATTCTGCTCTGTATCAGAGAATTCTATAGGAGAATGTCAGGCCATCTGTCGTGAGCTGAAGCTGAAGCGCAGCTGGGTCATGCAGCAAGACAATGATCCAAAACAAACAATCAAGTCTACATGAAAATTGTTAAAAAGCAACACATTTGAAGTTTTGGAATGGCCTAGTCAAAGTCCTGACCTAATCCCAATTGAGATGTTGTGGCAGGACTTGAAATGAGCAGTTCATGCTTGAAAACCCACAAATGTCGCTGAGTTAAAGCAGTTCTGCATGGAAGAGTGGGCCAACATTCCTCCACAGCAACGTGAGAGACTGATCAACAACTACAGGAAGCGTTTGGCTGGAGTCATTGCAGCTAAATGTGGCACAACCATATTGAGTGTAAGGGGACAATTACTTTTTCACATAGGGGCATTGGGTGTTGCATAACTTTGTTTATGAAATAAATGAAATGAGTTTGTAATTGTTGTGTTATATTGAGTGTAAGGGGGCAATTACTTTTTCACATAGGGGCATTGGGTGTTGCATAACTTTTTTTATGAAATAAATGAAATAAGTATGTAATTGTTGTGTTATTTGTTCACTCAGGTTCCCTTTATCTAATATTAGGTTTTGGTTGAAGATCTGATAACATTCAGTATAAAAAATATGCAAAAGTAGAGAAAATTAGAAAGGGGGCAAATACTTATTCACAGCACTGTATGTCATGGAAAGAGCAGGTGTTCCTAATGTTTTGTCCACTCAGAGTATATTATATTAATAAAGTAGTACTATGTAAAATAGCTGCCGAGTGCCATCAAGCTCACGCGCTTTTCTCTCTCTCTATTCCTCTCTCTCTCTCTCTCTCTCTCTCGCTCTCTCTCTCACACACACACACCTCCGAAACCTCAGCCCTTTCCCATGTAATATGTTAATGAGATAGACTATGTAAAAGAGCTGCCGTGTTTCACCAAGCTCACACACACTCACACACAAACACCTCTCCGCAACACACACACCACTCCGCAGTACAACCTCAGCCCGGTGCTGCTGGCCTGCTGTTTGCTCAGGACTTAATGAGTGTACACACTCCAGGTCAGGTGGCTGGTGACCTCACAGACCACAGGCAAATCAGTCTGTCCTTGTCACTACTAGTCTCCGAGTCGGAGTGCAGTCAGTTTGCTACGCCAACACACACACATACAGATGTAGGATCTTAATTTGAGCCAGTTTGCTACAGCAGGAAAATAATCCTGCAGCAACAGGAAATTTGAATTATTGTGTGGATTATAATGAATGTACATTTTTGTAGGGGTTGATACATTTTCCGTAAAGGAAAATCATGTCTGAAATTTCAAAGAGGAAATTTCAAACATCAGAAGCCTTTTAAAAACCTCAAATACACTACAAGTTTTAAATGTCCTGCATTGCAGGAAAGTTCTCCTGCAAAAGGGTAATCAAATTAAGATCCTACATCTGTGTACACACACACACACTCACACACACACACACACACACTCACACACACACACTCACACACACACTCACACACTCACACACTCACTCACTCACTCACTCACACACACACTCACACACTCACACACACACACACACACACACACTCACACACTCACACACACACACACACACACACACACACACACTCACTCACTCACACTCTCACACACACTCTCACACACACACTCACTCATTCACTCACTCACACACACACTCACACACACACACACACACACACTCACACACTCACACACACACACACACACACACACACACTCACTCACTCTCACACACTCTCACACACACACTCACTCATTCACTCACTCACACACACACTCTCTCTTTTTTATCTCTCTCCCCCATAAGTCCCATTATCACACAGACACAATGCCATTAGAGGCACAGATGCTTTGACTTATACCTAGGTGATGATGAGCTTTGCCCTGTCCATGGTTGAATGGACCTTCTGAATGTCACCTCTCATGTCAAACGTTTCTTGACACACCAATTGAATCACTCTCTTTTGGTTACTCTTTTTATGCACAATATTCTCAGGTCCATTGGGACTGAAAAACTCACTAGATGTAAAAAATAAATAAAAAATAAAAATAAAACATAAATATATTTATCTACGCCAAAGGTGTGCATTTTAATATAGATCGACAGAAGTAGAAGGTTAACATGGTCGAAATTAATTCAACACATGCGTAATTGGAATGTGCCTGGGCCTACCTATTCAGAGGCAATGCGCCTGGGCCTACCTATTCAGAGGTAATGTGCCTGGGCCTACCTATTCAGAGGTAATGCGCCTGGGCCTACCTATTCAGAGGTAATGCGCCTGGGCCTACCTATTCAGAGGTAATGCGCCTGGGCCTACCTATTCATAGGTAATGCGTCTGGGCCTACCTATTCAGAGGTAATGCGGCTGGGCCTACCAATTCAGAGGTAATGCGGCTGGGCCTACCTATTCTGATTCAAAATGGCATTTTGAGGAAAAGGTGAAAGAATGAAGAAACATTTATTGTCTATGGGTTGCGAAACTGTAGACCCACTCGTAGGCAACCTTGCAACGTTTTTCCCAGCCATAGCCTGCGTATAACACCTAGCCATGACATCCCTACGCATGATGCACTATTGAAATTACGCACGCAACATTTTTGCTTCATGCCAAGCGAACATTAGGTTGGCAACAAGTACTCTACTTGTTGTAACACGCACAGAATGTTTTGTATTGAGAAGTTATTGTAGATACACTATTGTAGATTTTCAGCCATTCTGACGCTCAAGTCGTAGCCTAACAAATAGCCTAATATCACTGACATAGTTCAACAATTTTTTGACCAACTAAAAGCTTTAATGTAAGCTCTTAAATTGTATCAAATTGTTGTATATAGCCTATATTCATAAAACTCTGGCTTAATTTGACACGTGTGACTTTTAAAAGTGTGTTGAATATTATTTCACACACAAGGGATATTTGGTAAAATTCAGAAAAATCAGGTAACATCCAAACAATTTCTTTAATTAAGATACATTCAATTTCATTGTGCATTGTTTGGAACTGCAGCTTTTTTACTGTTTTATCATAATGTAGTCTTAAACATTAGGGAATGTTCCCCATATGGTCTCCACCGTGGCCTTTTGATGTAATAATTGCACTTTGTTTAACCGCAGTACCTTAGTCAGTCTAATCAATAAACATTAGGATAACTTCTCTGAAGCGTTGGCATACATTTAAGTCGAGAAGTGAAAAAACGATGTTCAATATTAAGACTGTTGCCTTTATCAAAAACACAACACAAACAGAAAAGTAAAATACAAACATCCAAAACTATAGCAATTGATATCACCCTGAAACACTTAAATGCAAACTTTGTTTTCCTCCTGGTTTTGATTTCATAGCCTACTTTAGCCCCTTGTTTCTAAAAACATTTGCAGAGAAGTGTGCAGAAATGGGTTTAAGAGACAAGCTCTTGATGAGGATGGCACAATGTCCCTCAATGAGAAACAGTCAGTCAGTCCTTCAATACATCTGACCTGTCTTGTGAGCTGTCTGCTGGACAACAAACAGAACAGTGTCCTGTCTGTAGATAGTGTGGCAAACCTTTCCTTCCATGTGTTAACTTGAGTTCTCCACACCATGTTATATGGAAGAGAATGTTGTGATGGATATGGGTCCTAGGTGTGGTCCTTCATATAAATACAAAAGAGGTGATTGTTTGTGATGAGCTAACACAGGACCCTCTCGCCTCCTTCCTCCCTCCTCCTTTCTCTGTCTGCCCGTCCGTCCGTCTGTCCTGCTCCCTCTCGCTTCCTTCTTCCCTCCTCTTTTCTCTCAGTCTGCCCGTCCGTCCGTCTGTCCTGCTCCCCCTCTTCTTCCCTCTCTCTCCGTCCGTCCGCCCGTCTGTCTGTGTTCTACAGTGCTGAGGCGCTGACGGCGTGGGCATAGATGTTGTCACGGTGGTGGGCTGTCATACCTTTGAAGGTCAGCGAGGAGGCAATGTTGTCACAGCTGTGGTGAGAGAGCGCACTGCCACTGGGCGGCTGCCATGTGGGACCGGTCACATAGGCCGACGTGGTGGCGCTGTACCCCATGTAGGGCGACACTGGGGTGGGAGGGGGGTAGGCCGGGATATTGGGTGCTGTGACATAACTGTTCACTGTGGGCAAGCCACTCTGCATCTGTCAGGGAGAAGGGAGAGAGAGAGGGGAGAGAGAGAGGGGAGAGAGATGGTGAGACAATAGATAGGGAGGAGAGAAACAAGGTGAGGTAGGTAGAGAGCGACATAAAGTTCACATGTGCTTGGGCAAGACACTCTGTGTCAGAGAGAGAGAGAGAGGAGAGAGAGAGAGTGAGGAGTAGAGAGGACATAACGTCAGTGCTTGGAGAGTGTAGAAAAAAGGGGGGGGGAAAAAAGGGGGTTTAAAAAAATTTTTAAAAAAGGGGTTTGGGGAAAAAAAAATTTTCAAAAGGGTTTGGAACCCCCCAGGGTTTTTTTTAAAAATTTTAAAAAAAAGGGGGGGGGGGGGGGCCCTTTTTTAAAAAAAGAGGGGTTGGGGGGCCCAAAAATTTTTTTTTTTTCCCCCCCCCCCTTTTCCCCCCCTTTTTTTTTTCCCCCCCCTTTTTTTTTTCCCGGTGGTTTTTTGGGTTTTAAAGTTTTTTTTTTTTTTCCCCCCTTTTTGGGGGGGGGCCCCCGGTTCCCCCCCCCCGGGGGAAACCCCCGGGGGGCCCGGGGGGGGGGGGGAAAAAAAAAGGGGGGTTTTTTAAAAGGGGGGGGGGGGAAAAAAAAAAAGGGGGAAAAGGGTTTGGGGGGGGTTGGGGGGGGAAAGGGGAGGGGGGGGAAAAAAAGGGGGAAAAGGGGGGGGGAAAAGGGGAAACGGGGGGAAAAAGGGGGGAAAAAATTAAACTTGGGAAAGGGAGATAAAAAAAAAAGGGGGGGGGGGGGGGGGAAAAAAAAAAAAGGGGGGGGGAAAAAGGGGGGGGGGGGGGAAAAAAAAATTTGGGGAAAAAAAAAAAGGGGGGGAAGAAAGATTAGAGAAGAAAAATTTAAAAAAAGGGCAAAGGGGAAAAGGGGTTTTTTTTAAAAAGGGGGAAAAAATTTTGGGGGGAGAAAAGGGGGGGTTTTTTTGGGGGGGGAAAAGAAAAAAAGGGAAAAAAAAATTTTTAAAGGGGGGGGGGGGAAAACCGGGGAAAAAGGGGGGTTTGGTTAGAAGAGGGGGGGGGGGGGGGAAAAGGGTTTTTTTGGGGGGGGGGGGCCCCCCCGGGGGGGGTTTTTTTTTTGGGGGGGGGGGGCCCCCCCTTTGGGGGTAGAAAAAAAAAAGGGGAAAGGGAAAAAAAAAAAAAAGGGGGGGAGAGAGAGGGGGAAAGAGAAGAGAGAGAAAAAGGGAAGGGGAAGAAAAAAAAAAAAAAACCCCCCCCCGGTTTTTTTTTGGGGGGCCGGGTTTGGGGGAAAGAAAAGGGGGGGGGAAAAAAAAAAAAAAATTTTTAAAAAGGGTTTTAAAAAGGGTTGGGGGGAAAAAAGGGGGGCCCGGGGGGAAAAGGAAGAGGGGGAAAAGAGAGAGAGGGGGGGGGGGGGAAGAGGGGAAGAAAGAGAAAGGGGGGTTAGAAAAAGGGGAAGAGGGGGGGAAAAAGGGGGGAAGGGGGAAAAAAAAAAGGGGGGGAAAAAAAAATTTGAAAGGGGGGGAGAGGGGGAAAAGGGAAGGGGGGGGAAAAGGGGGAAAGGGGGAAAAGGGGGGGGAAAAAAATTTTAAAAAAGGGGGGGGAAAGAAAAAAGAAACCCCCCCTTTTTTTTCCGGGATTTTAATTTTAAGGGGGGGGAAAAAAAAGGGGGGGGAGGGGGTATAGGGGAAAAAAAAAAGGGGGGGGGGAGGGGGGGGGAAAAAAAAAAAAAAAATTTTGGGGGGGGGGGGCCTTTAAAAAAAAAAAGGGGGGTAAAAAAAGGGGGGGGGGGAAAGGGGGGGGAAAAAAGGAAAGAAAAAAGAAAAAGGAGAGGGGAAAGGGGAAAGGAGGGCCCCCAAAAATTTCCCCCGGGGGGGGCCCCCCCCCGGGGGGGGGGGAACCTTTTTCCCCCAAGGAGGTTTTTTTTAAAAAGGAAGGGGGGGAAAAAAGGGTTTTTGGGGGGAAAAAAAAAAAAGGGGGGTTTTTTTAAAAAAAGGGGGGGAAAAAAAATTTTTTGGGGGGGGGGGAAAAAAGGGGAAAAAAAAAGGGAGGGGGGAGGGGGCAAAAAAGGGGGAAAAAGGGGGGAATTTAAAAAAAAGGGGGGTTTTTTTTCCCCTTTTTTTTTTTTTTCCCCTTTTTTCCCCTTTTTTTGGGGGCCCCCCTTTTTTTTCCCCTTTTTTTTTTTTAAAAAAGGGTTTTTTTTTTTTGGGGGGTTTTTTTTTTTTTTTTTTTTTTTTTTTTAAAAAAATTTTTTTTTTTTAAAAAATTTTTAGGGGAAAAAATTTAATTAAGTTAGGGGGGGGGAAAGGGGGGGAAAAAAACCCCCCCCAAAAAAAAAGGGGGGGGGAAAAAAAAAGGGTTGGAAAAAAAGGGGGGGTTTTAAAAAAGGGGGGGGAAAAAGGGGGGGGGAAAAAAAGGGGGGGTTTTTTGGGGGGAAAAAGGGGGGAAAAAGGGGAAGAAAATTAAAAGGGGGGGGAAGAAAGGGGGGGGTTAGAGGGGGAAAAGCAGGGAAGGGGGGGAAAGGGGGGGTTTAAAAGGGGGGAAAAGGGAGGGGGGGTAAAAAAAAAAAAAAAAGGGGGAAAAGAAAAAAGAAAAAAGGGGGAAAAAAACCCCCTTTTTTTTTTGGGTTTTTCCCCCCTTTTTCCCCCTTTTTTTTGGTAAAAACCCCCCTTTTTTTTTTGGGGGGGGGGGGGAAAATTTTTTTTTTAAAATTTTTTTTTTTTTTTCCCCCTTTTTTTTTTTTTTTTTCCCCTTTTTTTTTTAAAAAAAATTTTTTGGGGGGAAAAATTTTTTCCCCCCAAAGGGGGGGCCCCCCCTTTGGTTCCCCCCCCCCTTTTAAAAATTTTTAAAAAAAAAGGGGATGGGAAAAAAAGGGGGGGGGGAAAAAAAACCCCCCAAAAATTAAAAAATTTTTTTTTTTTTAAAAAAAAACCCCCCCCCTTTTGGGGCCCCCGGGTTTAAAAAAATTTTTTTCCCCCTTTTTGGGGTTTTTTTTTTGGGGGGGAAAAAAGGGGGGAAGGGGAAAAAGGGGGGGAAAAAGGGGGCCGGGTTTAAAAAAAGGGGGAAAAATTTGGGAAAAAAAAGGCCCCCCCCCCCCCTTTTAAGAAAGGGGGGGAAAAAAAAGGGGTTTTTGTTTTTTAAAAAAAAAAAGGGAAAAAAAAATTTTTGGGGGGGGGGGGGCCCCCCTTTTTTTTTTTTTTTTAAAAAAACCCCCCCCTTTTTTTTTAAAAAAAAAAAAGGGGGAAAATTCCCCTCCCCCTCCCCCCTTTTTTTTCCTTTTTTTTTTTTTCCCCCCCCCTTTTTTTTTCCCTCCCCCCCCCCTTTTTGGTTCTTTTTTTTTCCCCCCCTTTCCCCCTTTTCCTCTCCCCTTTTTCCCCCCCCGTTTTTCTCTCCCCTTTTTCCCTTTTTCCCCCCCCCCCTTTTCCCCGGGGTTTTTAAAGTTTCCCCCCCCCTTTTTTTTCCCCCCCCCCCCTTTTTTTTTTTTTTTTTGGGGGGGGGAAAAGGGGGGGAGGGGGGGGGGGGGGGAAAAAAAAAAAAAGGGGGGAAAAAAAGGGGGGGGGGTTTTAAGTAGGGGGGGGAAAAAGGGGGGGAAAAAAGAAAAAAAGGGGGGAAAAAAAAAAAAGGGGGAGAGAAAAAAAAAGAGGGGGGGGGGGGAAAAAAAAAAACCCCCCCCCCCCCTTCTTTTTTTTTTTTTTTTTTTTCCCCCCCTTTTTCCCTTTTTTTCCCCCTTTTTTTTTTTTTTTTTTTCCCCCCCCCTTTTCCCCCTTTTTGGGGGCCCCCTTTTTAAAACCCCTTTTTTTTTTGGGGAAAAAGGGGGGGGGGAAAAAAGGGGGGGGGCCAAAATTGGTTTTTTTTTTCCCGTTTTTTTTTTTTCCCTTTTTTTTTTTCCCTTTTTTTTTCTCCCCCCCTTTCCCTTTTTTTTTTTTCCCCTTTTTTTTTCCCCCCCCTTTTCCCTCTCCCCCCTTTTTCCCCCCCTTTTTTTTTTTCCCCCCCCCCCCTTTTTTTTTAAAACCCCCCTTTTTGGGGGTTTTTTTTTTGGGGGGGCCCCCCCCCCCTTTTTTGGCCCCCCCCCCCCCCCTTTTTCCCCCCCCCCCCCCCCTTTTTTTTTTTTCCCCCCCCCCCCTTTTCCCCCCCTTTTTTTTTTTTTTCCCCCCTTTTTTTTTTTTTCCCCCTTTTTTTTTTTTTTTTTAAATTTTTTAAACCCCCCCCCCTTTCTTTTTCCCCCCCCCCGCCCCCTTTTTTTTTTCTTTTTTTTTTTTTAAAAAAATTTTTTTTTTTTTTTAAAAAACCCTTTAAAGGGGGGTTGGGGGAAACCAAAAATTTTTTGGGGGGAAAAAAAAAAAAAAAGGGGAGGGGGGGGGGGGGAAAAAAAAATTGGGGGAAAAAAAGGGGAAATTTTAAATTTTTTTTTGGAAGGAATTTTTTTTAAAAAAAAATTTTTTTTTTGGGGTAAATTTTTTTTTAAAAAATTTTTTGGGGGGGTTTTTTTTAAAATTTTTTTTTTTTTCCCCCCCCTTTTTTTTTTGGGGGGGTTTTTGGGGCCCCTTTTTTTCCCCTTTTTTTTCCCCAAAAAAAACCCCTTTTGGGGGTTTTTTTAAAATTAAAAAAAAAGGGGGGGGCCCCCCCTAAAAAGGGGGGGGGAAAAAAAAAAGGGGGTTTTTTTTTCCCCGGGGGGTTTTTTTTTGGGGAAAATTTTTTAAAAAAAAAAGGGGGTTTAAAAAAAAGGGGGGAAAAAAAATTTTTTTTAAAAAATTTTTTAAACCCCCCCCTTTTTTTTTTTTTTTTTTTTTTAAAAAGGGAAAAAATTTTTTTTGGGGGGGTTTTTTCCTTGGTTAAAATTTTTTAAATTTTTTTAAAAAAAAACCTTTTTTTTTTTTTAAATTTTTTTTTAAGCCCTTTTTTCCCCCCCCCTTTTTTTTTTGGTTTAAAAATTTTTAAATTTTTTTTTTAAAAAAAATTTTTTTTTTTCCCCAAAAAATTTTTAAATTCCCCCCCCTTTTGGGGGTTTTTTTTTTTTTAATTTTTTTTTTTTCCCCCCCTTTTTTTTAAAAAATTTTTTTTCAAAAAAAAAATTCCAAAAAATTTTTTTTTTTTTCCCCCCCTTTTTTTTTTTTTGGGGGGGTTTTTCCCCCCTTTTTATTTTTTTTAAAAAAAATTTTAAAAAAAAAAAAAACCCATTTTTTTTTTTAAAATTTTTTTAAAAATTTTTTTAAATTTTTTTTTGGGGGAAAATTTTTTTTTTTTTTTTTAAAAAAAAATTTTTTGGGGGGGGTTTTTTTTTTTTTTTCCCAATTTTTTTTTTAAAAATAAAAATTTCCCCCTTTTTTTTTTTTTTTTAAAAAAAGGGCTTTTTTTTTTATATTCTATGACTTCTGGGAATCAGAATGGTTTCTGCGGGAGAGAGGAGATCATTGTCGTTGCTGTATAGTATTTGTCCAGGAATTCCTCGACATAAGACCCAATGCCTGTATTATTTTTTTATTTCGACGGACATTTACAGTCATGAAGATGCACGTGCATTACTCAGATTCTAAAGGCTTTTAGTTTTTATGGAGCCTAGGCCTATAATTTAAGTGATGTTTTGTATTTCAGGAAGCAAAATGCCGTTGGCCTACTTACATTATGCCATTTTAGTTTACGGTTAATGTATCTAATGTTCTCCTACTGAATATTTTCCATAGGCCTACACAGCTTTTAATTTATGTTTTTTCAAGATATTGAAATTATTTAAAAACTAATAACATAGTTCATGAAGTAGCCTAGCCTACCTAGCCCATATTGCACATATTTTAACTTGGTACAATTGTTTTTCCGGTATTGGATAATGATAAATCAATAAATACACACGTCACACGAATACATTCAGTTTATTCGAATTCTGATATTCTACACAAATTGCTTTTCGTATAGACTTACTTTTGTTTGTTTCCCTCCTTTATTCCTCAATATTCAATGTGAAGTCATGCTTAGAAAAATACATAGCCCTTGGCTTGCTTGTGGCGCGCAATAGTTATTTTAATGGCTAGCACTCTTCAGTAAATTCTGTCAAATGGAAAAGGCAAGCTTACCAATTTAATTCTAGTTTTTTATTTCGTTACATAATTCGCTTTCTTGTTGGTTATCGTTTTCATGCTTTTATGTTATACAAGACGGCTGATCTGAGAATAATCACAAATAGCCTATATCGACGGATAAAAGCAATTTGAATTGGAACAGGCGGCTACTGAATAGGCCTACACATAAGGATCATATAAAATAAGAAAACATATGCTGTACAAGGCAGCCTGTAATAATACATATTTTATCATATTTATTAGAATCCACTCTCGAGGTATTTAGACGACAGTAGACTATATTGAAATGCATCAAATGGTGTAGCCTAATAGGCTAACAAATCATAATTATAGGAAAAATTCCGTCGTATCCAAATGTCAGTCAAAACCAGTGATTTGTCATTAGCGTGAAACCTACTGGTCTTCGTTATGTTGCTATTATGTCTGATAAAAGTGATCCTATCGACTCTAGAGTACCTGCACGTAAGAAAGGCATTTAAAGATTACATCCGAGCCGCCGGCGCTGTTTATGGATATGCGTGTCATTACCTTAAATGGAAATGTAATGATCCAATTATTCTTCCAAAGAGTGACATGATACACCCTGCGGCGCATGACTGGGACAACTCATGTAGGCCTACGGTTAAGAGAACTTCAAGCACTGCGTGTACTGTAGCTATAAGCCAGATATAAGCTACATCTTGAATTCATTACATTTTATTTTTTATTTTCAAATGCTTGCGTGTGGGTTAATCTATACATGCTTTATTGACCTGCCATTGGGAAGGAGTTATTTATTTTTCATGTTTCACATCAGTAAATAGCTGTGCCATTGCAGCTGCATAGCTTATACTGCGCTGTTCGCTGTTGACACTTGAACGAAAAAAACATTATTTTTTGCTAAAATTGAATTTGGACATAATGAATTATATGGCAATTGACCTTCAGCTTTTTGAAAATGCCCACTCCTTCTTACTTCAGTCGCCACAAGTCTACTTTTATTATAAGGAAGGACTGTGGATGTGAATGGGGAGAGGGCGGCCGTGTTGTTATGTGTTTTGAAAGTGCGTGCAGACTGCAGTGTGTGTATAGTGTTTTGAAATATGGGTCTATATGCCCCATTTGGAAAGGATTCAGTACATCAGTAGGCCTAGTTTATCATCAACAAATGAAGTCCCGTTGGCCACTATAGGCCTATAGCAGCCTGTGGCACGCAGAGAAAGCCATACTTTGAAAATGGGGCGTTTGAACCCATTAAAACCGTACAAATTACAATCCAAATAGTTGAAAATTGATCGGATTATAAGTATGTTTTATATTGTGATGATGACATTAGATTAGGTCCCGTGTAGCTCAGTTGGTAGAGCATGGCGCTTGCAACGCCAGGGTTGTGGGTTCGATTCCCACGGGGAATTTAGCAGTATGAAAAAGAATGTATGCACTCACTAACTGTAAATCGCTCTGGATAAGAGCGTCTGCTAAATGACTAAAATGTAAATTAGACTTTGACATACAAAATCTCAAAACTAAATAATTTGCTTATTGAAACCTTGGAATAAAATAAAGTAAAAATATAAAAAATAACTTGACCTATGACTGATTATGCCATGTATAGGCTATCTGCAAAATGCATTAGGCCTGCATTTTGATTTAGTTTTTTTTATCCGAACGAGTTATATCACCACCGCATGTGTTTTTCTGCATTATTTGTCCCCATTGATGCATCAAACAGTAGTCTATTGAATAAATCGATTTCCCATGTATCATCATGCAACTGGTCATAATACGCCAGTCTTTTTGTCTCAAGGGTGGTTTCAATGCTGCGTGTATAAACAGCAAACAATCACAGAAATTTGATAACACCATACTTGAATATCGATCAATTCACTTCACATTATACAATTTGAAAAGGTCCCGTGCGCCTTTTTCCACCAGGCGTTATGGGCGTCAAGACCCCAGAATTCGTTTTGGCATTATCTCGCGTGCCTCCGACGATATATCATACCAACTATGCATGCCTCCCCCTCTCACTTCCTCTCTCACACACACTATATCATTCATGCACGCTCGCGCTCACACTGTGTCAACTACCTCGTGCCTCCACCTCACACGTTGTTTGCACCCTTGCAGTCGATATATTATGCAACATAAAATGCACCATATTTTCTAACACAACACCGAGTTTAGTGACATGTTCTTCGTGAAACTTTTGGAATTAAAAAAACGTCTATATACACTAAAATATAATCTGTTATTCGACTAGGCCTATTAGTGGGATAAGCTTCGATGGAATTTACCACAATTTCAGCAATACCTTTCAGCTTCTATTAGATCAGCGTGTAAATCATTATTGGGGGTTAATTGTTAACATAAATGTAGCCTAGTCTACTGGCCAAAATATATACATGTGTAATTACGTTTTAATTATTTAAACTTCAGTCTTGTTATTCATTTACATTAGGCCTAATATTAGTTATTTTAACACGTTGGTTAAGACAATATGGAAATGCAATGAAATTAGGCAATCCTGATGATCAGCATAAAATATACAACCATAACACACAAAAATAAAAACATTTAAATAATATTTATCCAATAACTGTTATGATTATCTTAGTCGGTCAATCGGTCTGTTTTGTGCCAATGGATTTTCTCTTGCAACAAAAAAAAAAACTGTAGAAACGTGTCCAATTATGTAAATCGACGTCAGCAGGACGACCTGATGCCTCTGGTCAAGTTTCCTGGTATAATAGAAGATGACTTGAGAAGTTTAGTTTCTTTCTTATTCTTTCATATCCCTAAACCTTATAAGATAAAGGAAAGTGGCTGCAAAGTACAAAATACCAAGAGCTTTTGCTGAAAAAATTACAAATTAAATATGTTACCCCCGATACAACGTTTGGCTATAGAATATCGCTATATTTAGAGTATTATTCAAACGGAACTTGTACAACCCTTACAAAAAAAGATTGCAGTTGAAACAGCTAAAAGTGCAGTAACTGCAGTCGACTGTGGTATTTTGGACGCAGTAATTGCAGAATAACTGCAGTTATACTGCACTCTAACTACAGTTACACTGAAAAATACTGCAGCAAAAAAAACGGTGTTAGTTTGGACGCAGTATTTGCGGCATACTGCAGTTATACTGCACTCTGACTGCAATCTGTTTTCGAAAGGGAAAAGCCGGTCTATTCAAATGTACATTTGGCGTGCTATGCTAATGACCGCCGTTGAGCTTCTCAGTACATCATATATGTCAAGTTGTCAACATGCTATCACCTGCAAGGAAATTGATGGGTTCTGAGGTTCCAGGTTCATGGCTAATTTGTCACAGAACTGAATCAATCATATGCCAGTGATGGACACAAAACTACAATACGTAATAACAATGTAAGAGCACAGTATGCCATGGAGCCGAATAGAACAACCCACAGTAGCCTATAGGCCCATACACTGCGGTGTGGTCGGTGCCTTGTCTAGAGGCATACACCCAGAGGAGGTAGCGTGTCAATATGATTGAAAGCACCAAGAAAGCATACTCAGCTCGTATATTGATTACACAATAAGTGTGAGACACTACACTTGAAGGTCATCATATTGTACTTGACCTTGTGATTAACACAAATTAGGCTAAAGATGGATGAGGACGGAATTCTATAGAAAAGGAGATGTATCCTTTTACCTGTGTGTATTTTACTTCAGGTTCTATAGAATGCGGTGGTTTATGCTGCAGGCCATTGACTAGTGGAGAACTTGCTGACTGCGGAAAATTAGTCCTGTTTATAACGCTCCATTCTTCTAGTTTAGCACTGGGAAAGGACGAACTGTCACTAACTGCATGGGGCAAAACAAAGAGACACAGAGACAGAGGAGAGGGAAATCAGAGGAGGTTAACCGAAGAGACTTCACGCTACCACTCCCATCTATTGTAGGCATTCATCTCACCTTAATAACTATACAGCTTTTTAGCAAAAATACGGAAAATACTTGAAATGGTAACGATCATCATTTGCGAGGAATTACTTCAGATCCGACCACGTAAATAGAGAAATGGCTAGGGCTATGGTTGTCTTAAAATCCGTTTTTGCATCTGTATAGACAAATCTGAATTAGGCCTACTGCAGAGGGCGCCTAGCCCTAGTCATTTCTCTATTTACATGGTCTGAAGTAATTCCTCAGAACCCTGGAAAACCCGTATATGTGTGTGGCTTTGCATTAGCCTACTGATCATACCGAAGCAGCTCATTGCTAAAAGGAATGCAGTAAGACGATTCTTTCGTGTAATTGTCAGGAACATTTAACCAAGCCCGTCTTCCTGTGGGGACAAATTAGATTTACTTGAACCGTTTCCGCTTTGAACGTGATGGATATTGTATTATACACGGTTCCCAACGTTTAGAATAAGAAAAGCAAGCCCACAAGTGTTGTAACTTGAGAAGACCACTGAGTCGATTATTTTCTTTCTCAACCCACTTTACTTTCTTTCATCAAATCAAGTTGTACTTGTAGTTGTCTATTTTGTGCATATAGACATTTATGAAATATTTGTTGTACGTCTAAAAGGTTTGAGTCTTTTGGGGGGTCTTTTTCTTGAATAATCCTTCGCTGACAAAGCTGTCTTAAGTTTTTTCGAGGGAGGATGAATGTTATCTCACTTTCTTGATGGCACGGTAGGCGTGGCCTGGCGTGGCGTGGCGTAGTGTGTGTGTGTGTGACAGTGCCATTTGATGACCAATGCCTTTCCAAATATCGACATATTTCAAATGCAACTCATATTATGTTTTACGCATCTTTACGTTAAGCGTATAGTTTTTACGCATAGCCTATAGTTTTACGCTAAGCCTATAGTTTTACGCATGAGGCCTGTGCTCGCCATTTGCGTCTTAGTGATATTTTTTTACGCTCTTCGTCTTAGAATAGGCTTACTGTATTGAGTATTCCCTCCATGTTGTAATGTAAACCCAACAGCATATCTATAATAGGCCATATCATAGTCAGGTAAAAAAAAAAAAATGAAAACCTGTCGAGGTGATTGTGGCGCTAAAAGACCTCACGTCATTCAGTGTACATTATACTTATTTCGACTTTCAAAACCTGCCGCAAACATCTGCTAATAATTTGGAAATGCATAAATTGTTTATAAAGGCATCCTTTGAGAACACATTCCTCCCCGGGATTTCTTGTTCGGCTTGAAGATCTGCGCTGCGTTTGAGTGGCGAAGCCTTGTTGTTTGATTGTTGGAGTTAAGTTAAGACATGGAATGGCCGCGGCCTCCCGGATCTAAAGAGGTCTACTATACAAGCTCTAAGGAGAGTGGCATGTTTCTATCTACAAGGCGGTGAGACCCGAGAGCGTTCTAACTTCTGACAGAAGAACGGTTATGACAAGCGCATAGGCGGTCGACTGACATCTAACACTCTCTTTGCTAAAACAAAAAAACGTTGTCCTTAAAAATCTTATTCACAAGAAAAGTCATTTATTATTATTTATGGAGGTCATATTTATTTAGGCTACATTGTTTCCAAAACAGAATAGTATTTGTGGTAACATAGTGAAAACGAACTTTCCAATCATGACTGTAACTAACAAAAACAAGTTCTCTAAACTTAGATAGGGTCTTTACGCAACAACACAGGCCTTCAGTAGCCTAGTTCAATGTAGCCCCGTATAGCCTATTGAAGCAGTATGATAGGCTAAAAGCGTGTGAAACTGCATTGCAGGGGTGTGTATTTTGAAGTAAGGCAAGGACAAATGTATGGCTGCAAGACATGGCAGGGCAAAGCTTTGAACACCTCATTTTGATTTGAGTTCATCTCCTCGTGCACCGCTGCGCCTTCCCTTCGTTATCCCACTAATATTCCACATCCGCCCCAAGCCTTCCTTCAACCATCTGTTTTAATGCAACCGTTTGAACTAGGAACTAAACGTTACTAATACATGCACTCACCGATTCTGGCAAATAACACATCACTAACTTAGAAAGCCAATTTATGTTCGCAGTTCGTTCCAGAAGAGTCACTCTTTTATTGAGAAAAGTTGTTTATCTTTTATCTGTTATTAGTAGGCCTTAATGCACACATACTGTTATACCTATGTGCATTGCTCATAATATTGAATAATGATCCTGATAAAAACTGCCTAACTCAAAATTTTAAAAGTTACACATCTGCCTACCTTGCGACAAGGCCCACTACACGCACGTACACACGCAAGTACGCACACGCATCCCCTGCTGACCCATGCGTTTTCCTATGAATTTTAACTATTAACAAATGCAATTTCTTTACCCATGTACCAAAGTAAAAATCATGCTTACTTTGTTGCTCAGTTATCGACCGAATCCCCAGAATATCTGTTACCGAGTGCGATGAGGGCCATATCCTGTGCATAGCCATGTGTCCAGGGAGGGAGTGCATGCCCGGGGGAGTCGGTACTTTGGTCCCAGATGCTCCGATGGGGGTCGGATACGAGTATATGTGGTTGTATGGTAGCGTTGGTTGAGGTGGTGGGTGAGACGACTGCTTGCTGGACTCATACTGACTCTGCTGGGACAGATTGCCAATCTTGTTGCGGAGGATCCGACTGATGGAGCTCACAGATGGTAGATTAAATTTGTCACAAACGCCGTCAGCCAGTAGCCTGTCCCGGATCTCCCATGCGAAAATACCCGGGTCCCTCTGCTTGTATGTCCGTATGTGCTTGACCACTGATGGCGTGGTGACCCGTGGCTTGCTGCCACCGATCGCTCCCGGGAGTATAGAGCCAGTCTCGTTGTACCGGGCCAGTATCTTGCTGACGCAGCCGTGGGAGACCCGGAGTTGTCTGCTGATGTCGCAAGGCCTGATGCCTAGCTGAGCGAGTTCTACAATCCGCAGCCGGATGGCGTTGGGTAGCGGTCTGCCGTTGACGAAAACACCGCCGAGCTGATTCACCTCTCCGAAGGCTGGCTCTGGTGTCATGGAAACATATACAGAGACAGCTAAATGAAACACACATCTTAAGTTAGACAACGTGTAGCTGTAGTAGTCTGTAATCACAACAAGGCCCTATTATGACTAGTGTTGTTAATCATGCCTACATGCTAATGCGGTCTGCAATGTCGTTTCCACCCGGTTAAGGACGAATTAAATGCTTATTTACAGCATATGAGATTGTCTTAAATGTATTGGGATGTATATAGAATATATATATATATATATATATATATATATATATATATATATATATATATATATATATATATATATCTTTATAATGCACTCAAAACAGATGCGTAAAACCCAATTTAGCGCGTGATGAAAATAAAAACATGTCTCACCATTAGGCTACCTACCCCCTGCTCATAAAAACCCCGCACATTTTTCAGTTTGTGCATAACATACTGCTACATTGTAATACCATTGTATTTTAATTTAAAGATACAGTTGCAGTACAAATGTGTTTTACGCATGTCTATGCTATAGGCTAGTTTTACCAATCGGCTACTAATAATGGTCATTGGAAAATCCTTCGTAAAAACCAACTGAAGCGCAAAAATACTATTCCGTGTATCCATACAATCGCCATACAAGCAACATAGGCTAATCATAATCGAATCATTAGAATGTAGGTATAATTCGTTCCTTGAACGAGGTAGGAATGCCTGTTATAGACTAACTCAATCATCGGCACACAATGTTTCCATATAAACTTACCCATTGCGTTTAGTCCGCAAATTATTATTGGGATCTCGGAGTTATACCTTCCGTCCAGTTCCGCGTCCAGTTTAGCTGGTGTCTGGAAACCTGTCTAGGGGAGCACAAATCCTCGCTCTCGTACGCCACGGTTAGGCTACTGCGATAACCGAACAAGGATAGCTGCTAGAAGGAGAAATCCGCGATGTGTTTCCTGATGGCAGGGGAGACAGGCTTACATTTCAATCCAGACAATCATGGGCCGGACTTCCAAAACTTTTCTTCACCGGGAGGCTTGGTCCGCCAATGAAAGTTTGAGTTTGTAGAGAGCAGCTTTCCTATTGGATTGAAAGTTTGACATGACATATGCTCGTGCAGCAAGGCAACCCCCTCTCTTCCGTAGGAACTACAGACAGGGTTACCCTGCCACCATGAATTGCAATTATGTGTTGCACTACACAGGAATGGTAAGTTACAATATAATATTATTATTGTGATTATGAATCATACATAGCAATAAATTAGGCAACAGGATAAATCACCAATGTAATAATCCGAATATAATAATACAGTCAAGTGTTTGGCTTTTGCTGCGTATATAGTCAGTGAGGAATTCATGTGATATAAAGAACACAAAATGATGAAAGTGAAAATGGTATTCCATTCCCTCAGTTCAAATGGATAGCCTAACTTGCGTAAAGGCTGTCTTCACTCGCCAACCAAATAAATAACACGAGACATTGAGAATATTTGTACATCACGAAGTGGCGCCCAATGTAAGGCCAACGAATCTTATGATGTAGTATTTATAGGCCTTGACTTTGACTTATAAATACACAAACAAAAACAAACAAAATAAGTTACTGTCGGAGTTGGCCGTTGGGTCATAGCCTATATTGCTCATTCCATTTAGGCTACTAATACACTTGTATTTCAATGTTTCTTTTAAATATTATCCTTGTGTAAAACATTTGGTTTGTATTCCAACGTAGCTCAGGCCTTGATTTGATTGTTAATTTGTTTATTTTTCTAGTCGTGTCATCAATTTGTGTATGCCTTAACAAGTTCGATGTTATATTTCTCTCTCTTGCATCATTTTTCTAAAATCGAGATACAAAACAAATGTATACAATAATAATAATAATAATAATAATAATAATAATATGCCATTTAGCAGACGCTTTTATTTACAGTCATGTGTGCATACATTGTTACGTATGGGTAAATTTCTACATATAGCCTAGGTTGTGTGATGATATTCAACTGAGTGTTTAAAAAGTTATAGGACTAATGCGTCATCTCAGAAAACTTTGCCTAGAGAGCGTTTAATATGTTTGCTATTAATAGCTTGAATAAATGTTCGAATTGTATATTCGACACAATTTATTTATTTTTAAAAAATGTATTTGAGTTACATATTTCAAATACATTCTCAATTATTATGAAATATTTTATAAAAAGGGAATATGAAACAATAAGCATATGGATGTTTGCTGTTATGTCCTGTTTATTTATTCAACGTATAGATACATAGCATGAATGCGCTAGACTAACCCTACATCTATATTTCACCCATCTGACAGGCAATATAGAACGCCTTCCACACGCAGGTAATCGGACGCTTTGTTTCCTGTTTACACGAGAAACCATAGCTCTTAAAGCTCTCGATGGTTGGTTGACCTGTGCTCAGGATTTCTCTTTCTCTTACTGCTAAGGGTCACTTCACAACAGTAAGCTTCGTTTGCTCGGCATCTTAGAAATAGATTTCAGGGTATCAACACTGGCCTATATAGGCTATACACACACATACGTCGCTCAAGCTTATTCTGCACTGCATTTTGTCAAGATTGGCTTAGACTCTAACCATCTTCTTACTGTCCGTGTCTTCCAGGGCCCTCATCTGTTATAGCAGCGAGGGATTCCAGGCTACTCATCACTGAACTCTAAAATCTTTCTCGCTCGTTTTCCAGCTGCTCTATTGGCGCATTTCCATACAGGATTTACCCCAGTGTTTTACCCCAAAGGCTTAGACTTTCCATCTATGCGGGCTGGAACCCGTGGCTACGGTGGAACTGCTCTCACTTGGGGCCAAAGCCAGGCCACTGGTACTTTTCAGCTGGCATTTAGCCTACATAACAACGGCTAACTGTGAACTTCTCACCTTCTCACAAAGCAACTGTTTTGATTGTGCAGAAGTTGTTGATTCTGCTCACCACAAGTCCTCACTGTCAGCCTTAGCTATGGAAACACCATGTCCCTAGTATAGCCTAGTGTAACACTGGTGTTACAGTCGAAAAGCAGCATAAGGGTGTTCCTGATATAAGTATTTGTGCGGGCCGATTCCCTTGGCCCCCGCTCCCCATGGCAGCCACTAATGCGTTAAGGATACTGTTTACCATTGGAAAACGTGCTCAAATTGTTTCCATTGAGGTGCTTCCGATGTCTGGAATAACAAAGGGTCAAGTCTGAGGGATCAGAGGTCTCCGCTCAGCAATTAATATTGTAGTTACTTTCAGATTAATGTGATGGTATTTAAAAAGCATTTACTTTACTAATATTCTAATAATATTATTTAGCCCCATTCGGACCATGCATGGTGCAATGTTGATCAAGATTAGAAGTAGGCCTATTTATGATTTTTCTAACTATCCGTTGGATCATGAGCAGATCCAGCTTCAAGTGTCAATTCAATTCCCCGGGACGCGCGTGCATTGGGGCCAATCAAGGCCTCGAAGGAATTCGCTTGTCATCCATTCCACCTCCGTAACATTCTAACAAGAATAGGGCCCTCGTCTGTTTGGCTCTATTCTTCTTTCTGTCCACACGTTTTGTCTGACTTCATCTTATCGCAGTGAGACATAAATCTGAAGGGTAAATTGGGCATTGACAGATAAGTGTTAACGAGGTGTGTAGAGGAATGTGAATAGATATATACGGTCTTTAGACTGCCTAAAGAGAGAGATATTTAGGATCAGATTGTATTTCAGCCCAAACATTACATTTTACATTTTAGTCATTTAGCAGACGCTCTTATCCAGAGCGACTTACAGTTAGTTATTTTTTCATTTTATTTTTTTTATACCCCCTGTGGGAATCGAACCCACAACCCTGGCGTTGCAAACGCCATGCTCTACCAACTGAGCTACATCCCTGCCGGTCATTCCCTCCCCTACCTTGGACGACGCTGGGCCAATTGTGCGCCGCCCCATGGGTCTCCCGGTCGCGACCGGCTATGACAGAGCCTGGATTCGAACCAGGATCTCTAGTGGCACAGCTAGCACTGCTATGCAGTGCCTTAGACCACTCGGGAGCCATGTATTATTGTTGTTGTTGTTGTTGTTGTTGTTATTGGCTGTATTATTATTGTTATAACTGTGGATGTCTACCTGTATAATATTATTATTTGTATAAAGGAGGTAGGCCTATAGACCTATTATTATTATTATTATTATTATTATTATTATTATTATTATTATTATATTGTTGTGATAGCCAAGCATGGTAGGAATTGACCATATAAAAAAATACGTTGTGTATTCCATGTGAAGGCCTAATAGGCTATAGTAGACCTACATCATCTCATGTGTAGCTCTATGCATTTTCCTGTAACCCAGCCTTTTTTCTTTACAATATGCGTTACAATCCACCAAAATAGTTTCATTTGTAAATTCATGAATACCGTATAACATAGCCTACCACTGAGGAGATTAAAGGTGATGAGCGATTTATCGATGAAGGTCACATTAATTACCATGGCAGGTCATGTAATCTATTAGATCAGCAGGGGATCTTTTGATGTCTGTGTTGCCATGATTTGTAGACTACTATTTTAATCAGATATTTTCCAATATATTACACACTTGACTCGAAGAACGAGACACTAAATAATTAGGCCTATATGTTTTGTGGAATTCTAAAAGGCATGACTAAAAATGAATTAAACTCTGCTTGTCCTCAGTATAGGACGATGTCCCTCGCGCATGGTATAGGCCTAGGTTAAAGACTAGCGGTGCGCTGCTTATTTGAACTAAAGGCATTTAAGGAATGCATCATATAGTTCACTAAAACAGGATTAGCCGTGTCGAGTGGTCCTAACCGCAAGTCAACGCATCGCATCCTTTCTGATCCGTAAAACACGACTATCTGGTTTTGGGGGATACGGACCAACGGGACAGTCGACGTAATAACCCAATTTCAATATTTTCGTTTCTGTCCATTGAGCTCGCTTTTAACCCATGCGGAAATCCTTAATTCTACGCTTAAAATGGTGCAAAAATCATTTCAACTTCACGCACCAAATCCAGATTTTTTTTTAGGCTAAGAGAATGCAGCCATTAAATGATCAACATTCCGCTGCCACTTGCACATACACATGAGCTCCCATACCTCTGTTGTAGGCCTATGCATTTTTAAGATAGCCATGCACTGCTATTTTATTTTATAGTGATGTTTTTAAGGTAATTAGTGGCTGCCAATTACATGTAAATTACTGTAAAAAAGGTACAGTATGTTACCGTAAATTAAAGTTTACAGTAATGTACTTTTAAACCAACGTTTCCTTGGAATTTAAGGTCATATACTGTAATCCTATATATATATATATTTTATTTTTTACAGTAATTTACAGGTAGCCTAACTGAGATTTATTTAGAAGTGTGGTTCTCATCATATGGCATGCTTGCTGCTATTTTGGCTGCATGGTGATATCATTATTTTATGTTCCTAAGCTACATGTGTGAAGTACTCAAAATATAAATTTAATTATGGGGTATACCAATGCTAAGATCAGTATTTTCAAATAAAATTGTTTAAGTGCATCACATAGCCAATTTATTTTATTTTTTATTATAGGCTTACGCCTCGTTTTAATTGCACTGTGCAATCAATATGGACCAAATAGCCTACAAGTGTTCTTTCTGTTTGATCTATTCCGATATTTCGAGGAGACAAAAACGTAACAAGCAGTTGGACATCTGATGCGCTATTAGGGCTGGTGGAGCCAAACAACACAGAGCACATTGGACTGATCTTGGAGTTTGCCCTTATAAGGCTAACTAACGTCCCTCTCGGTAGGTAGACCTACTGTAGGAAGATGACCAAGGGTGGCCAGGATCGTATCGCTTTCCATTCCCATAAAGGTAAGGGTTAACGTACCCGTCGACCATTATTTAATTCTAAAAAAGATACAAGTTATTATAAGACAGGCTGATGTAGCCCTCTAGCTGAATCTAAACAGCGTGTGCATGATGTTCCCGGGGTGGCTCGTGACATTATTTTATGCCCAAAGAGGAAAGGGAATAATGCACCCTTCAGCCATTCTAAATTATAAAAGAGAATAGGCCTATAGTGTTGCTGTTATTC